CTCTATGAAACCCATGAATGATATTAATTAAATAATTTATATAGAAACTCTCTCAGTGGTGGGGCACATTGGATGAACCGGTACTATTGATCCACATAAGTAATTGTAGGAGTTCTCTACGGTCAAGGATGTAAAGAATCTCTTCTAACTATGTGAATTAAACCCAAGCTGATACAAACACAATTGAGATAAATATAAACTGAAAAAATGAATAATTTATAAAATAATTTCTAAACAAGTACACATACAATTAGCCTTCAATTTTAAGAATAGCATCCAAACAATCCTAAAATCAAGCCCCAGTTAAAAGGTCAAATATAGTGGTACAGTGAATCTAAACCCTCCAACCAATGCTGCAATCAAACGACAGTAATATGGTCAAACATTCCGAACATAGCGATACAATGAATCTAGAGAATCCATTATGCATTACTCCTTTTAAACGAAAGCATGTCTCAACAAAAGTATGTCATTAAGTTGCAACCAAAATAAAAATCATCAAGATATGCATAGAGTGGTCAAATGTATTTAATAGAATATACAGTGCATCTACCACCTAAGCATATCAATAGTTCTAATATGAGTTCTAAATATTCAACAGAAAAGTTTCGATCTGCAATCGCGTACTTCACCAGCATATATTCTAAGACCGTATCTTGACATCTTTATTGGACAAAATGGATCATGATCTTGATTCTTGGTCTTTTTTTTACAGTATTCTTCAAGAATTTTATTACATTGCTCAATCTGAAGCATATAGAATATTTCTCTCGTGAGGATACAGAGCTGACCGATACTCTGCACCGATGGAAGAGGTGTGTTTCTTGTTGCTCCAATAGATGGCACCACCTTCCAGCAATAACGTCTATGCAGATTTATATATATGCACTCATCAAGGTTCCTGTATGTTACACAAACATAGTTATGGGTCGGGGACGTCGCAAATTTATGAAAGATCGTGTACAGGGTCACACACATACTAAAATTAAAAATTTACATGAGATCAATACTGCTTTCTCATTCATGTGTTATGAAAATTCTATAACATGTTATTTTTCTATATTTATTTTATAATGTAGATAATAAATTAGAAAGTTGCTCGTTTTTTATCTTGATGTCCAAGACTCTTTAAAATCGTACTTCTAAATCGGAAAAGGGCTGAAATGAACTCAATCCATGTCCAACTAGTTTCAAGAAGTGAATATGAAGTGTAAGTTCTACGTCCAAGAAGTGTATGACAAGAGTTTTTAATTAAAACATGTTTAATACAATTGATTCATAAATTATGCATATATCCAAGAAATATCCAAGTGTCAAAGTTCGATAACTACACCAAATGTGTCGAGTTCGGGTACAGGTACGGCTTCATAATGGAAGTCAAGTACCCAAGCAACATAATGGTTGTCATGCTGTCATCAGCATATCTTTTGAAAAAATAGACTTGCAAAGCAAGGTAGTGAGTGTCGGATACCTTAAAGATAGTGCATTATCCTCTTCACAACTTTACAGAAGCAAGTCCTAGATTACATTGTTATGGGCTGAACAGTACAACAAATGAGATATCAGAACAAGTGCCCTACAATACATGCATCGAGCTTCCTATAGCATTCGAACAATAAACGTGTTCAAACTACTTCTGCTGATGTTTGTTTTGCAGATAATATTCAGGCTAATTGTACAGCTGTCCGTGATAAGTCTAAAGTTTGAATTAGGATCCACGGATCTTCCTTGTGTATGTTACTAGTGAGAGTTCAAGAATCCTCTTTAAATAATCTCTAGACATTTTTACTCCAATTAAATGGTTTGCATCAACCATATCATTCATATTAAACTTGGTAGGAGGCAACCCTTGGCTGTATCAGTTATCGCCTTATCATTGGATATCATGACCATGTCATTGATATATAGGATCTTGATACATTAGAATCATCAAGTAGTATATTTGGATATTAATATCATGAATATGCCATTGATATACCTTGCCATTATCACATTACAATCGCCACTGGGCACTGTACATATGCCTGTTTGACTTTGGATACATTTGAATCAAGTAGTACATTTGGATACATAATTATTTACTTTTAAGAAGCATCAACGTGGATCTAGTTTAAACATATAATTATCAGTGTCCATAGATAACTTGTTCGTAACACATATAAATGGTTGTGTGTCAAATTTGTATCACTAGTTCACTAAAGACATAGTATAAAGAATTGAATAATAATAATAGTGCACGTATCCCTAGTCCATGACACAATATAGGCACGACCATGTACATCCTGTATGAACAGATGTAGACGTGTGTATGAATTGCATTGGAAAAAAACCAAAATGAAGAATGAGGTAAAGCGTCCTCTGTTTTGCAAGAGGTTTTATTCTCAATCCCCTCCCTGCTAGATTACAAACTTTTCTCAAAGAAAGGAAGAACGTATGTAGATGTGTCAAGCATTAAATCCTAATTTTGCAAACATCCTCCCAAACTGTCAGTTATTTCCATTTTGCCCTTCTAAGGGGGAGTGTATCTTTCTCTAACAATGCACTTTCACCACTATATTTGTACATGCAACCCACCTCCCACCACTCTCCCCTCTCGCTCTCCCCCTTCTTTGAATCAGAATCAAGTCAAATCAATCATTCCATCCATGGATTCCTCATCCACCACTACCAAAAAACTCCCCGTCTCCGCCATCCACTCTTACCATTCTATGGAGCGTCACCTATACGCCCGCATGGTCCTAGCCCTTGGGATGGATTCAAATCTGTGCATGGAGGTCATTGCCTTTTGGCTTTGGCTAGAAGAGCGGGGTCAAATTGATGTTATTCATCGTGTCAATTCTTTGGATGATGGCACCTTGCAGGCTATCACAATAGTTGGTCAAACTTTCGTCGAAGCCCTTCGATTCGATGTTCCACCTGACCACCCAAGCCATCACTTCCATAGAGAAGCTGTTGGTGGAATCATTTACTATCTTAATCATGTTTGTCACCAGGTTTTAGGGGATATTAGGTGGAAAGCTGAACATGATGCTAAACTTAGAGATCATATGGAAATGTTGGTTTATAAGATGAGCCAAACTAGCCTCAATCAAGGTACCAACATTCCAAATTCGGCTGTTCTTAGATCCCATCCTAATGTTCAGCCTTATATCCCTCATGGAGAGGGGTCTAGTAGAGATGTTAGAGAGAAACGGGTTAATAATATTCCAAGTATCATGGAGGTTGAAAGGCAAATATTATCAGGGTATCCTTTTAACCTACTAATGAGTGGGATGGTAAGGCCTTTTCCACAGTACTATGGTGGGAGGAACGCTGATTCGATTATGGATTCTGGGGACCATCAGGATCAACCTAACCATGTGCCGCAAGACAACATTCCACGTGAGGAACGCACTCTTTTTGTAACTTTCTCCAATGGATACCCTCTAACCGAGGAGGAACTTCACAGTTTCTTTATGAGGTAAAACTGGTAGTCATTTTTTTCCTAGTTAATTCTATCAAGCTAATAATTTGATTTGTTGAACTAAAAGCACTCAGATATCTACATCCTACTGTTTATTTACTACGAGATGCATTGCTATGATTATTAACTAATCCATGTTCTTCTATATAACTCGTCGTAGTTCATAACATAAAATAGTCTAATGTAGCATTAAGTTCTTTTGTTTTCCATAGTGAATTTTTTGGATATTTTTTGTCATGCTATCATGATATGTAAGAACATTGTCACATTGATTTATATAATAGATCACTAATGCATCAAAGCTAATCAGTAATCATGATTATGGCAGTTGAGTTAAAAAAAAGATGGAGCTTGGAGATTTCTTCTTTTGTCGTTACACAACTATTGATGGATGCAACAATACTGTTATATTTTCATATAGTAGTATATCATTGCTTACACCGTGTAATTGTGTTACACAAAAAGAAAAGATTGGGATAGCAAATCCATATATTTATCACGCCACCTTTGCCTTCTTGATCGCATACTAATGCAATACAAAGTTTTTGCAACATAAAAATTTGTAAACATACATTTATAGGAGAAAATATCATTTCAGAAAGATGCAAATCATAAGCAACACATACAAGCATGCAAACTAGAAGTTTTCGAGATAACTGATGATAAGAAAACAAATTGTGCAGAAAACCTATTCGTCTATTGCTCACCCACCCCCCACCCACAAGAACTTCGTGATTTTGCTATTGTAAAAGCAACCGATCTCTGTTATCATGCTTTTTAATATTTGTTAGCTATATCCTTGATTCCTTGTCATCAGTTATCTCCACAATTTCTATTTGATTAAGCAAAAAGAGGGTGTGAGACCTTTGCTGATTCTTAAGTCCTAACTAACTAAATGTACATCTATACAACACATTTACGAACACAAACCAATTTGATGACTGACTAAACTAATGATTTTGAAGACTCCTTAATCATGTAAAGGAAAGCTGTAATTTAACTGTTTTAGATGCAAAATCTTCTACCAGCAGTTGTTTTCAACTATGTAACTAACATTCTCTGTAATCTAGAATAATTATAGATTACTTTTTAGCAGAAGCTATGTATTTCCTTAGTTCGTCAGGTGAGGCATTCAGAGCTTGATTATAGATGTTATAGAAATCAATGGATAGAAATATGCTGGAGAAACAATTCCAGAATAAGCAATATTTATCTCATTATAATTACCAAATAGTCCACCCTTAAAGTTCTCCAAGATGTTATATCCAAAAATTAGGATGTGCTCCATGCTTGCTCGATTCTTTCAATAATCCTATCTCCTTTATTGTCAATAACATAGTTCATAGATCAGGAAATGTTTGGAAACTTCTGGAGAGCTTACGAACAATAGAACTGACAATCTACATAGAAATGAACTGCTTAGCATAGTAAAGATCAATAAGAAAAAGAGACGCCTGAATGTAACTGAAACGTGCAGCAGATGAACCCGTTATTATCTTCTTCCAATATGAAATCTGGTTATCAGTGATCTTTGTGTAAGGGAATTGTATCGCAATCGATCTTCCTTCTTCTTCATTATTTCCTCTTAATGTTCCTCAATAAGAATATACCTATATAAATTTCTCTAAGGATAGGGGAGATAGAGTTTACTTGATGAACTGACAAGTAACCAAATGGATGATAAAGATACAGCACACATATATGATCCCACAGGAAAAGGATATTTTTATCAAGAGCTTTGAAAAAAACCAAGATACCTGAAGCTTAGGTAGCTACGTGGCCAGAAATTAGTAAATTTAACATTTAGTTCTATATATCTATGCATATACACGAAATATAGATCCTAATAAAAATCTAATTTTGAGATCCTTTTCGTAGCAATAATTTGAAATCAATTTCGCTTGAACTTGTGAAGGAATTATGGAGATGTGGAAGCAGTGAAACTTCAGAAGCCAAAAGGGAGCAAGCCCCCTCTGTTTGCACATGTTTCTTTCTATTCACTAGCCACAGTCCACCGTGTCTTAAACGGAAATCAAAAGGTAAAGTTCATGACAGGAGGGAAGCACCTGTGGGCCAGACGTTTCTATCCGAAGAGGAACAAAGAGCACAAGGACAAGTGATCCAAGGTTTATGCCTTTTCTTATTACTGGTGAATATCGTGCTTCCCGTGCCTTCTCTGTCTGGTCTTTTTGAAAACAAAAGCATGACTTATGAATAATGTTATTTAGCTTGCCTGACTATATTCAATAGGATGTTCACCAGAATGTGACAACATCCAGAGAGTATTACATGCTTTATGAACAATATACAGTTGCATTACCTTATCTTCTGCAGCATGATTACTCAGAGATTTTATTATTTTACAGAGGCTTTTTACGTATTTTGTAACTTACAAAAGCATTGATGATTAGACTTATTAACCGTGAAGGTAGAGCAATTCAAATTAAGATATTTCTCAGAATTTTAACCTTAGGTTTGAAGTACTAAATTTTGTACGATAGTCCCCCTAGGAACAATCATAGAATAATTGTATTATTAGTATGTTTCTACCAAGTCAAATACAAACCAATAAAGGAATATTCATTTATGCCATATGTTCAAGTTATTGCAAAAAATTGTAAAATGACAAGCACGATTGGATAAGTTGCATTTATGGTATTAAAATGTTAAGGTTCTTTTACATTATGCTTTATATAAAAGTGAAAAAACATAACAACTATTTTGCACTTGTTATTGTCAATCTATGTGATGACTGACAACTAGATATTCTCTATTGTTAATGTAATTCATCAAAGGGACAAATTTGATTGTACAGCATGATAACAGGTTTCAATATAGAAATAATAGGTATGAGGCGGAAGCTCAATTTACTAAATGAGCTACCAAGAGATGCACACCTGGTGAAGTGCACCTTGTTAGTCACATCAGATGGGTGGGTCTCCCCACCCTTTATGTCTTGTAGCTTATTTAACAAAATGCGCCACCAGCACATAACCATCAAATCCTTTAAAATTTGATTGTATTGCTACACTTTGTGTTGCCTTCGCATAAAGGGCCGTAAAACACAGATATTAGGAAACGCTGTGCAAGATTAATCCATCAAGAGAGCCCATATTCGTTAGTTTATAGCTTCCTAAGTGTATTTTTAGTTGTCCACATTAGCCTAGGTGACAACCCTACAAACTTCTTAGAGAACTCTTTTAATGGGCCTTATCCCCTAGGACACATATGCTCACAGTATAGCCTTTAAAGGTCAATAACACATAAAATTAAAACTAAAGATGGGCATTCCCTAATTGAACGGTAGGAATTAAATGAAATACCTAGAATTTCAAGAAAAATGTAAGAACTAAAGTGAGATTAAAAATAAAAAATAAAAAACTAAAGTGAGATAATTAATGATAAGCAACAAGCGAACACATGCAAGAAATGAAAATTCAAATTGTTAGGCTCACCATCCATCACAGACTTTTAGAATGATGCTGAAAGAAACTCTATAATAAGAAAAAAAATTCAACTGTGATCAATGAGATGTCAAACCTCTATGAGCAACAACCCTCTCATGTATTAGGTTTAAATTTCTCGTCAACAAGAAAACTATGTGCAAAATAATGCAGTACCATAAAAACTTTAATGGTAGTTCACTGTAAGGTCAATCAACATTTATTAAAGTTGAATAGGAGAGGAGAGAATAGAACAAGTCATCAAGCACAAGGTTTTAAATGTCGGATGTCGGGTTCATATCGGATGGCTGAAATCCATGTCGGATAGCAGAAATCGGGGATATATCGGGGGACATTGACTAAATATCGGATTGCCATATCGGGTAGTGCGCATATGTATAATATCATGTCCTAAATGTAATCTAAGCATTCATAAATTTAATATAAGCATACTTTATAAATTCTATAGACTAAACATATAAAAAGGTAAGTAATATATGGATTTGGGTTCATAAATTCTTTCTATCGGGTTCATACGAAACCCTTAAACATGAGAACGGGTCAAACGTGTTTGGGTATTTATCACTAAACCCAAACCGGATAACAAAAAATAGAACTTAAAAAAAAGTACTATATCGACCGATTTTTTAAAGCTAAAAAATAGGCCGATATGCCCGATATGACCCTGATATTTTCGATTTTGCTCTGAAAACCGATATACGAGTTGAAAACATCCATGTCGTCTCAGTCAAGCCCTCAAACCGATATGTCGGCTGACATGTCGGCCGACATTAAAACCTTGATCAAGCATGATCAAGTATTAGCAACATGAGAAGCAAAGAGACCTATACAAGAAGTAAAGCAAAGGATCTAATTAGTTTTACAAATGCCCTAGTGACGATTGTTCCCCATTGGCAAACAAAATCTATCCACCGCGTCTTAGACAATAAACAATAAATTGAATAAAAGCAGGTAGCTGACTATGAAAAAAGGACTTTTTAGGTGAAAGTTACTGAACTTTGTCTGAACTAATAATCTAGTTTTTAGTTTTAAGACATGCGTCAATACTTCCTCTGATTAATGTCCACGAAATTTAAATTGGAGTAAATAGTAATCACTAACTAATAATCTAGTTTTTAGTTTTAAGACATGCGTCAATACTTCCTCTGATTAATGTCCATGAAATTTAAATTAGAGTAAATAGTAATCACTAACTAATAATCTAGTTTTCAGTTTAAGACATGCGTCAATATTTCCTCTGATTAATGTCCATGAAATTTAAATAGTAAATAGTCAAAAGACACATCAAAACCCAAACTTTTGCTTTCCTTCTCAATTCCAAAGAGGGGCACAAATCCATATTTGAAACTACTATAAGTAGCTGATTAATTTCATTCCAAAGAAAGTTATCACCCATTATTATTGTATTGTGACACACACCAACACACGCGCGCACAAATATCCATAAAAGAACTGTTTCAGGTAGCTCGACTAACCATAGTTATTAACTCAACACCATCTGTTTATTTGAATGTTTTAAAACCTATTAAATTTGCGTAGTATAATTGTTCCATAACTAGTTTCAAACATTAGGATGCAATTTGTGATTTCTTAGCGGGAAAAAAACTAGATTTGCAGGAAACTTAATAGACGATTTCCTTCTGTCTACGTTTTTCTTGCTATAATTATATGAATGGGTGCTAACGTTAGATCAACACTGCAGCAACGGGAAGCAGGCTGATCTACCACTTATGTAGTAAACCAAATAAATGGCGGAAGCTACAAAAACATGCCAAAAATATTTGACTATTCTTTTGGTTTTGCAGTGGGTTTTGATGATTATTGATGCATTTTAGAATCTTCTAGTAAATTATAAATTTGTAGGAAAAACAATCAAGATCTACTCTCGAATTAGGTTGTGATCTGAAGAACCACATTACAAAAAAAATTCCCAATCATAATACACTGGAGGTGAGAAAATAAATAAATAAATATATATATATAAAAACCCCCCATAAATTTGGGGGAGTTGCAGTAACCCCTCAACTTTTTTATCCCACTAACCCCCTTGTACTTTAGAAGTTATTGTACATAACCCCCCTAAACCGTTTAATTTCACTAAATTTCATATGAAGATTTCTCATTAATCTCCAAATTAGCACCATCAATTCTAACATCTCATGTGGCAAGCATGTCATAAAAAAGATAAAAATAATCCCTTACTCCAAAAACATCACAATTTTTTTAATAAAAGGGTATATTATGGGACTAATGAGGATTATGCGCAAAAACTCCTAAAGTTAAGGGGGTTTAGTGTAATAAAAAAGTTGAATGGGGTTCAGTAAAACTCCCCAAAAGTTCAGAAAGGTTTTCTGTAATTAACATATTTATATGATCATGAAACCAATTGTGATATGCATGTTCACTAGTTGGAACTAGCTGGCACCTGATATAAACTAATTATGTTTATTCGAGAAAAGGGTGATAATCATTAGGCAACAAATAACATTAATTGTATTAATATTTCTTACCGTCCTTATAGTTTTAGTATGTTTTATGGTAAAAAGTAAACATGTACATTACTTCCTAATCAAATTGTTGTGTACTAGGTGAAAGAATACCGCTAACGATTTCCATTTACTTTGATCCAAGTGAAAACTTCACACTAATCTAGTAATTAAAAAAACAATATTACTACGTTTAGTGTGCAATCTCGTTTGCCAAAACCAACAAGCAGGGGAACTTTGTCCTAATAAAATATCCTTGTGAACCCAAATTTCATTACACAAAACTGATTAACCGTTACTTTGATGTTTATGATTTGTAAACACAGGCTTAAAGCATTCCATAGATACAGAAATATCAAACATGATGACTACTATGTTTATGCAAAAGGAGAGGGTTATTAAATTAGTATACATGTGTCGATCTGTGTATGTTTGTGTGCACACACGGATGAAATTTCTTTGTGCTTCTGAAAGAACCTTAAAAGCATAAAATAACGAAAATAATTAATTATCGCAACTTTACAATAAAAGAAGGAGCAATGCATCATTTTTTGTAGCTGCTTTAGGAAACTAAGGTGACCACGTTGTTAAATAGGAAAGCTGAGTTGAATGTAATGGCACATAGTTTCTTCATCACATACATACAGGCATGACAAAATTTTAGGGCAATCCTGTTGAAGATAGCCTATGCCAGAAAGCCACCACAATCAACTGATAAAAACAAAAATAATTATTATAAAAGGATGTTAGATGCTGTGAGCCATACAGAATCCACGGAACTATTGAGGAGAGAGGTTAACTACTTTTACATGGTTCAGTGTATTTTAATAGTTCCTCTAGTTCTCTGATTTTCTCCTATCTTTCTCCCTTGTCCTTACTATGACTTTCTTCCAAATTGCAGGTTTTGAATTAAACTTCTGCAAGCTAATCAAATTCTTCCAAATGATGGGCAGAGCTAAATTTAATTCTGAAAATGAACTCCTGTTCTTTTTTGTGACCTCCACAGTCAATTAATAATCCGCCAATCCTTTTCTTTGCAAATAAGAGAGGAACAAAGAGAAACAAGGTTGGTACATCTTTGTCATTTAGGTTTACCCGTTCATCTTCCACTTCATATTTGTATGAAATGAATTCCTCAGACAATTTAAACATTGCCAAATATGCACAGGAAATGAATTCCTCAGACATCTTTGTATCAAATTCTTTCATTTCGCCTGCTCCAAACAATGCAATGAGCTACTGGAAGCTGAGATTTTCTAAGGGAGAAAACATGATGCTAGAAAGGAAGGGTAAGAGGCTGCAAATAAGGACCCAGATGAGTGGCATCAGAGGATCAAAGGGCATGCATGTTCAAGTAAGAGTACTTATGCAACCTCAGGTAGTAACTGATGAACATTAATCTAGTATTGCTGTAACAGTAAATCTCAAGCAACAGCTGGTATGAATCTTCACTTAGGACTTGTGCCCTTTAGCTTTCACTTGTGATATTGTTTTAGGTCCTTGTATTCTGTGATCTGAATTTTCTGACATAGTGCCTAACATCAAGGAGAAGCTAAACAGAGAAGCATCATATTACTAGATGGACCTCTCTTAAGGCGCCACTGTGGGAGATGGCTTTGAAGGATAGGTGTGAGAGGTGGATGAGCAACCTGGACAGCTGAGTATCATGAGAATGACTACCTTCAAGGTATAAACAAATCTTTGAAATGTGCTACATCATGAGAGATATACATAATTAAATGAATTGCATCGTGCAAGATTAAATTTTCTATTAGTTTGCAATTCCCCAGGAACTACGCAAAAGAAACCAAAGATACCTAAGAGCTGATTAATGCCTTTATCTTCACTCACAGGGTCACTCAGGTAAGTTCTCTACTTTCTCATTTATGGGTGCTTCATTACCAAAAGATTCAAAACCATCAAAGGATCTCCCAAGTATCTTCAAGGCTATGCTGAGGTGGTCCTCGTTTTCTACCACTAGTTAGCTACAATACATACCCGTGGTATTCAGATAACAGAGTTATTCTGCCTCTTTACTTATTGTGTCAGTGATAAGAATGTCCTCCAAACTCCAAAAAAAATTCTCCAATAGAAAATTCATCGGCAAGGGCATTTGCTTGAGAGCACATAAATTCTAAATTTTGATTTCCTAGGATCAGTTTGTGCTATAGATACCGGAGATGCAATAAAGGAAAATTTAAACTAGTACAGAAAACCACATCATCAGAATAACAACAATTTGATGGTTGAGGTTCGGGATATTACACCTAATATTACTACCTAAGTAAACATTTCCCTAGCCCTTGGATAGTCATTAGAGGTCATTAAAAGTCAATCTTCTATCATCTCCCACTATGCTCACAGCACTCTTCCTTAGCGGAGTGGCATTGATGAATAAGAAAAATTATTTTCCCTCCGACATTCAGTAGCATATAAAGTTCACTATCCTTTTTCTCGAAAAAGGAGATAAAGAATGGAACTAGAGCAGACGTACCATTTCCACTGCATGTGAGAATTTATTAAAGTCAAGCCCATAAGAATTTCATTCGTCAAAGGCAAGCCTGGGTTGGAAGGTGAACATTAACAGAATGTATCTCTTTAAGTTGTGCATTAACTTCCACTCTCCCTCATGCTCGTTAATGAGCAGCATATCAATTGCATGTCCATGATTCATAAAACTTGGGGCACACGATATCTAAACTCAACTAAATTGGTACTTTCCAGTTTATAAGATTATAAAATATGTGATCATTAGATCCTACTTGAAAAGTGGATTCATGATTACAATCTGCAGCATCTTTACATAGCATTAGTTTCTTAATTACAAAGGTTTCTTGATTGATTCTTGGGTTATATAACTTCATATTTAATCTTACAATGACTTATTGTGTTTTATTAACCTTCTATTTCTGATTTCATGTTTACTTTATGTGTGTCAAGACGTCATTATGGTATTCCAGGTTTCCAAAACTGTTAAGCCGTTGTCTATTCAATGTCTTATCTTATAATCACAATAACTCATGATTTATCTAGACGAGTGCAACAGTGGCTCACAGCTTATTCAGGGCACTCATAGCAGAGAATACTTTATACTTGTTTATGCTTGTCATATTAGTTCATAACTCTAAAGTTGTAGTTCATCACAATCGAGTATCCTTACCCAGGTATGATGTTTACATGTTTACCGGAAAATTTGCACATGGTATACCAATCATAATGCACACTATTGTCATCAACTTGTTCGGTGACTAGCACAAGCCACAAGGTACACAAAATACATGCAATTAATCTGTTTCTCTATGGCAAAACATAGCTGAGAAGATAGCCTGAAATGTAAGGGCAGTAATGATCGCGCTCTAGGACGATTAAGCCGACTCAGATCTTTGATCCTATGACTTCCCTCCAAAAAGTTCGATAATGCCTAAATATTTAATGTTAACCAGTGTATCTGAGATTCTAGAAAACCAATATCCTCTCATTTTAGTAGCAATAAACATATTTTGATCAAAGTGCAAATCATACTCGAAGAAGCTGAAATCATTCGTCAATTTGGATTCAAACTAGTATCACTGTATATGATCTTTGTTAGCAATTATATGTTAGCTATAGACAGGTTGCAAAGTAACTATGTACGGTCTTGTCAGGGTGTTTGGGTTTATGTAGCTGGAGAATAAATGCTTTTCTAACCACTTGAGGTTATAACTAGGCTAAATATTGGAAAAAACCCCTTAACTTGGACGATTATCAGATACCCCACAAGTTTCAAAATATCAGAAAACCCCCCTTAAGTTTAGGGGTTATCAGAAAAGCCCCTTTAACTTAAAGAATTTATCAAATAAACTAACAGTGTTTAGTAATTGTTCACACGTGTGAGTAAAATTATGCATGAGAATATTTTTTCCAGCGAAATTACAGTTCACGC